CCAACATGTTATACTCAAAACCACCGACTGTCTCTATCAGGGCCGCCCGGTGTCTTATGTGCACACAGCAGAACAGAATTGATACGAGGCAAGACCCATTTATTGATGATGTCGTAGTCCATTGGGTTATGCGATAACGATTGAAACATTATTGAATCTCTCTATTAGCAGGTAATAAACACTTATACAGACAGGGGTACAATCATAAACATGTTACAAGCATTTCCACCGGCTATTCAATTACTGTTTTTTGGAACCAATATCTGTTCATCAGCGCTGATGTATTTCTTAATCAGACAAATGACGAGGCTTTGCAGAATTGCAATATTCGGGTAGCTCCCAATTAAAGCCGGCGTCAAAAAGCAGAAAGAAGGAAGATATCTATTCCAGCTTGTCGGTGAGCTCTTGTGGCTAAACAAAAAAATATTCTGGATTAGGAAATCTGATATACCCAGGCTGCCATAATTATAATTTATTATTAGATTTCTTAGCACTTTTTTTATCATTTCATACGTGAAATATTAGAAAAATCATCCAAACAAGCTATATGGGGTCTTCGACGTGAAACAAGCAACCGTTTATGTCAGCGACATCGCATGTTTGCCTCTCAGATATCAGGTTGCTATGGGGTAGGATTGTTTCAACTTTCTACATTAAAAGAATTAACAGAAAATTGACTTTGAAAATCCCGTGCCGTGTCCTCTTGGTCACTGCGCGATTTTCGGGACTTTTCAGGGAACGTCCGATGTTCACATGTTCATGAGCCTTGTCCAATGTGTATTTTCCAATGTGACAACGTAGATTTTGACGGGGAAATACGCTAGACTCTTTGGTGATTCTGAACATTGGTGACCTTCTGGCGATGAATAGAACGTTTGACATTGGGACGCCAACTGGAATGCAGTTCACACACAATATATGCCAGCAATCGAAGTCTTAAAAAGCATCAGAATATTCGGCAAATATGCATGGCCTTAACATCGAGAGCCCTGAGACCCTCGAGGCTAGGCATTTAAATGCCCATCATTCGCCCGATTACAGACTTTCTCCAGCAAAAAGGGAATTAATGCCCCTGAATCCAATTCATTTACCTCTACGTCACGCAGGTCAGTGAACATTTACCCAGAAGGTCTTACATTCATGTACAGTCCAGCTGTGTTCCATGGGGCGTCAGACCACTCCGTTTGATGGATGGACTTCTGTGTATGCACTGACGGCAAAACTACAAGATTGGAAATCAATGACAATGTAATATCACCTTAGAATGTGGTCGTAAGTCACAGCATTCATCACTGGCCGGACGCCGTGTTTCAAGTCACTATCAAGTGCCAACGTCTCCATTCTTTAGAAGTTGAACACAGTTTATAGTGCATTATTTATCACCCACTTAGTCACTGTAAGGTATAAAGCCAGACAAGCGGTCATGCGGGATGATGCTAACTGTGCTGAGCCAGAAAATTCAATCATGCTTCCTGTTTCACAAAGAGTTTTATAAGCACATCGCTACTTTGACCAATAGTTGGCACTAGGTGTCTGTGTGGTCAAGTATCCTTCGTAATTGGTCATTCGAACCTGACGAAGGACACAGTACCGACACGCCATGTACCCTTAATTTGGAAAGAAAGAGACTGGTTTACTGTGTTGGACGATCGGTTTTTCTGGTCACCATGACCATATCTCTCGGCAGACTGCAGCCATACTCAACGGTTTGCCACCATGTTTGCAGCAGGACAGTTGTAATTCACAAAAGACAGTAATCAGAAGAAATTACGGATTGTAGTTAGTGTTCGAACGTTCCTAATCCTTTTTATTAGAAACCTTTTTGATTGGGAATCGATCTGGCGGAGTGGAGCCATATGCTCAACGTTTTGCTATCAAGGTCACAGCAGAACAGTGATCCACAAAAGACAGTAATCCACAAAAGACAGTGATCCACAAAAGACAGTAATCAGAACACATAACGGACTGTTGGGGGGGGGCGATTGAAAATGATGATAAATGGCAGAAAAGTCTGGTAGTGGTTGCTTCAGGCGATGAAAGGCGACAGTATAGATTTCCGGTGTAGATTTCGCTGTTGGCAAATCTTTGTTGAGTGAACTGCTCTTACCCTATAATGTATGCTAACATGTTAACAGACGTGAAATGCAAGTCTTTCCTTTGACTTTCCTCCTGGGACAAATAGTTCATCTGAATTCTCTGCTATTTACTTGATGGAGGCATATATAATAGAAGATGCCTGTTTCTTATGATAAGCCGCGTTGATATGCAATCAATGTAATCACCACAGACAGATATAACGACGTAATCCCTGGTAATCCAATGTGTTGCATAGTTCAATCTTAATCATGCTGAAAGGAAGATAGATGTCATGGATTATTTATGTTATGAGTGCATCATAGAGTATTATATAAGCTGAGCTTATTGACATAATCATAAATGTTGTCTCAAATAATTGCATTGAGTACATGACAGCCTTACTCTGCTAGCTTACTGAGTACATGTTGATTATCATCATACATACACATATATACATACAATAACATACATACATATATATATGTAAAATCATGGTTGAAAACATTGCGATGGCAAAAAATACATATTTCAGGTGGTATTCATCTGTGTAAGGCATACAGCCAATGTTTTCGTTTGTCCGCACCTGTACGTAACGTGTATGTTGCCATGTGCAATTTCTTTATCAGACAATGGCTACATGTAACGCACTGCGTCGTCGCCTCTGTCCAATCTACTCTGTATAAGTTTAAAACACATCTCCAGGGCGAGTTGCCAAAGTTCTAGATGGGGCGTATAAGAAGGCTGACTTTCTACAAAGGCATTTAGCTCGTCCAGCTCTCCCACCTGCGTCACATTTACTGTTACCAATTTCAGGGTGAGATTATTACCTCCGGGGAAGGGTACTGTTTTTGGTCATGTTTGTGTGTTCGCAGCTTTACCTCACGGTGGGTTGGACGGATTCCTTTGATTTTCGCTAAATTACTAGTTATTGGGATTGGTAACATGCCTGGATTTGATGGCAGTTATTGTGTACATTATTAATTATGTGTACTTCAAATTCCCGGAGATTTGGAATCTAAGATTTGTTGAAGAGTTGAGTTTCTTGTAGGTTAAACATACTGCCTGCAAACCCATCACAGATTGATACAAGAAAGGGCCGTAATGTTTCAGTGCACATTTTCAAATGATCATCATTCATTCCATCCCATGTATCCTCATGACATTTGATCATTAGTCGATTGAAGTTATATTCTCCCAAGACGTTGGTTTGCCCGTTGATATTACGTGGAATACAGTAATCTAGAGTTCATGAGCGCCTATGGAGCGTATCTTTCACAGAGGGGTGCGGGCGGGTTATGGAAGAGCGGCGGCCGGTTAAAAACCTCTTCAAGATTTTTTTACGTGGATCTTAACGACAGTTCTGTTGCACGAGACAGTTTAATACCTGGCACTTAGCAGTAGATTTCAGGCTTCGATTAAGACAACTTTTCTTTTGTAAATAATATCACATGAAGTGATTTTGGACTCATTAAGTGTGTGATATCAATGTACAAATGTTTTATAATTACATTACATTGCCAGTAACTCCTAGGTTTTACCTTCACCTTGTTCCATCTTTATGTTTATCGTTGCAAAATAGATCTGCTGAGTTGAAGCGAATCAGAAACAATATGAGCTCAACTCCTTTTGTACAGACGCTTGTAATCCACGTAGCAAGTGTGCCGTAATCACTTAAGAAACATTCAACGTAACGTAATTAATTGCAACTGACAGACAATCAAGGCAACAATGAACACCAGGAATACAGATAGATACGGTACCGAAAGAAGGTGGCAATCAATAACAATATAGCGGCATACCCAGGGCCATGGTAATTTGTATTCAGATCACGTTCTACATCAAGCTGAAAGATACAGCCATTGTCGTCCACGCATATAAAGTAATAATTGCTTACATTAAGAGTTACTGCAAAAGTATAGCAACTCATGTAAAAGTATAACAGCAGCTCATCTGTAGTCAATTCCGCTTGGGCCTGAATTACAAACATTGCGGTCATAAGTTATATCAGATAAGAATCGTGATGGGCATATCTAAACCTTTATAGAGTGCCAGATAAACATATAATTATTATGTGGCTGTGATATGTGTAATATGGATCGACCGGGTCAGTCTTTGAAAGGATTATGCATGAGCAGTGACAATGGAAGGTGCGTGTTGGGTATTCAGACTCGGTATAGCGTGCAACCTGCCGTACCTTTGGAGATTACCGATTCACTATGGGAGAAATGGATTGTATAATTCAAATCTCGGGTTTATTTTCATTTACTAGTATTCTTTATTCAGATATACGAACCCGTACAGGCTAATACACAAAGGACATGCAAAGAATAAAAATACAGATAACTTACCTGCATAATGATACTTATAATGATAATTTGTATCAAGGTTATATAAGATGCAATCTCATAATTAAAAGATGTTGGCAATCTCTTCTGAACTATAACGCTCTGATCTTTATACAAAATGTATTAGGTTTTTAGAACTAGTGTTTCGTTCCGACTTACCGCCAACTAAATGTCATTTGAATGATGGTACCAATTTTAAAGTTTGGTTCTATTCCAAGATATTGATAGAGTTGGGTTCTGGAGCTAGATTTATATAATTAATATGTATGATATAACGTTTAAGTGTAATTAGCGTGAACGTGATTTATTTTAATAACATGTTAAGATTCATTAGTATCAGTTGAAGTTCAACGAGATGTCAAGAAGTTCAGGGCATGAAATTGAAATGGCTAAAAACAAGAAGATGACGTCGTTGGACTTCTGTATTTTCATTTGACGCATGCGTACCATAGCGTGCCGGTTCGTTGGTCCAAAGGCTCCAGCCTCCTCCGTTTAAATGACTTTACCAGACAGCCGAGAGACACAAGCAAGAGGGTGCCACAACAGCTAACGTCTCGCCCCTACAACCCTCCCGGCACGATGGGTGATGACTCCGCCTTGTCCCTGATACCGGAGACCGAGAACTCTTCTCTCTCCGCCCGTGAGATGGTAGACGGTGTTGACCTGAAGATGCTGATGGAACTGTGGCAGTGGTATCAGCGGGCGGAGAGAAACACGTCCCTACCGGGGGCGACTTCGACGGCTTCCCCATCGAGAGCAGAAAGGACGTCGTGTACCCCACGGCTAAGGCCTCGCTCGGGGTGGTGTACTCCCTCATCATCATGGTGTGTGGGGTGGGTAACACCCTCCTCCTCCTGGTCCTCTTCAAGTACAAGAAGACCAGAAACACGGCGAACTTGCTCATCGCCAACCTGGCCCTGTCCGACCTGATCGTCGCCGTGTGCTGCATCCCGTTCGACATGGACTACTACGTGGTACGTCCGCGGGTCTGGGTGCACGGGGACGCCGCCTGCGCCGTCGTCAACTTCGTCAAGACCGTGTCCATGTACGTGTCCACCAACGCCCTGCTCGTCATCGCACTGGACAGGTTGGTTTGGTTCATTTGATCTCAATCAGTGATTATGTACAAGAGTTTACTTAGCTTGAAGGTTGATCGGTGTAGCTGGAATGAATTTGTGACAAGGATTTTCTGCTCAAAAGTTAAGTTCTTGACAATGATTGATGAGTGGTTACATTTTTCAAATGCGTTGGAAATGCTATTCTTTCTAGAGTCTTCAGACGCGAAATCCATCCGCATCCTCATTTTTTACGTTAATACATTTTACTATCCATCAAAAGCATGCACTTGGTTTGCTTTGTTGGTTATTTGTTTAGACGAGATCTCCATTAGTGATTGACTTCACCTTAAGTTAATAAACTTTGTATGTGTGGCGAGAAGCTATTGTTGTACATTACACTGAAAATTCCCACACAATGCGAAATTGCAATGCGTACCTGAATTCCAACTTAGAAGTCCATTCCTTGACAAAGATTGATGCCTACTTCATTTTCTTACTGCGTTGGCAATTATACTTCAATCCTGCTTCAGAAGTACACTTTAGTATGTATTCTTTCTACATGCAATTACAATCTATCAAAATTATGCACTTTCTGAAATTAAAATGATGAAATAATGTGCTGCTCGTGGATGCAAATTGTCAGTAATATCTCGAGGGCTTAAGTGACTATAAGACAGTCCAAAATTATACTATAATCATTATACACCTCATGACAGGATTCAGTTTTCACAAAACAAAATCATGACAGATTACATGGCAAAAATAGCCCGTAATATATCAATACATTATATATAATGGCACGGAATGAAATTTACATTATGCGCAATTGAAATGAATGAACATCATATGCAAACAGAGCTAACACTGTTTGAACAGATGGTAGATGATTACATGGTGGACTGTAAAGTGATTTAATTTGTGTCAGTAAGTTTTAAAAAAGATTTTTCTCTTTTTACTGTTTTGAGTTTTGCTAGCGTGGAACCAGTACTGTGGGCAGTACTCTAGTTGAATACCTGTTGGTCTACTGAACAGGAACAAGTGAATTGTAAATGCGTTTCATGACTGACCAGCACCCTGAAGTGTATGTAATAAGCATTTCAATAGTATTCTGCAGGCTCTTTCTGTGCCGTGCTACTTGCAAATCATGCGTGTTTGAAGCAGACATATTGGCTGGAACTGGTAAACAATATTGTGCAATAATAATAAAACAATTGCACAGACAACAACTTTACACACTTCATCCCTTGAAATATGGTCCCACACAGCACAATAAAGATCACCAAAAAGATAAACCACACCTGGTTTTTGTATTTGCGAAGTTTCTGTTGGTGGCGTCCGGGGAAAATTGGCTTGGCGCCACTTCACTCATTTTGCTCCTCTCTTGACGTCAACACAGACATTAGCCTGTTGAACGTACGAGTCATTACAGGTAATGTTCGCCAATTTACTGGGTTAACTGAACGGCAGCTGGATGGCATGGCTGCCGGGCCGGAGAGTAGCTGTAACGAGCGTAATGACAGGACGGTGGATTTTCTCTGATTACCTGTTGAAGCATCAGCTCTGCGTTTTTCCTACCAGTGCTGTAACTAACTACAAAGAAAGCCGTCTTCTACGTGGACTTGATAGTCCGTAAAGTTAGCCAAAGGCGGGTAGAATCGTTTATATCGACCAGGCGCTGACACGTATGTGATATGTTGATCCTTACACATGAAGGGATTTGCTGCTGTCTACATGCCGGTAATAGATGAAAGATGTTGTCCTGATGGTTTTATAGGATTAGTCGGGACACGTTCTTTCCAAGACAGTGCTATAAATCATTGATACAAATTCTCTTACTACAATTGGGATTCACTTAGTTTTTGTTTCTTTTCATAGTCTTTTGTATCAGCGCGATCCCATTACACGTATCTGCGTATTCTGAGGTTCGTCCAATCAAAGTTGTAAAAAGTAAGTTGGCATACATATTTCATGGGGAAAATTAATAGAAATGTTAGTGATTCCATACGATTGCTTTCCAGGCCAGGATGTGGTATAAGGGCGAACACACGCGAAGAAATAGAACTGCACGTATGTATAACGACATGCCTTGTTCTTTTTGCATTCTGCACCATGAAGTCCACCTCACAACGGGCCATCATCGCAGGAGGCCAGCATAAGTGACGTATGGGGAACATAAATCCGCGCACACCGACCGGCAGCATCTTTGGCACATTGCAATTTGGAACAGATCAGGTCGCAGCTGAACACCATTTTTGACCTCATTATGATTTAAAATATGACTGAGAGATAAAACCCAGCCTTCCCGAGGTCGGGTAAGGTAAGGGTTACGCCGAAACAAATCACCGAAGTTCACCGCTAGCGCGCTGATTCATTTATGTAATAAATGGGGCGTTTTCCCTCATTACCTCCAAACTGGATAGCGGTGAACCTGAAGCCCATATCCTCTGATCGGTATGTTCAGATTGGTTTGCAAGGAATCGATATCAGGTTTGCCGTGGGGGTCAATAATGGCACAGTTCTCTTAATAAAACAATAGATAGTTTCCACTGCAAATAGAATAAAAATCGAGAGCGATAACTTTCTCTATCGATCAGTTTTAGCATCATTCTGTGTTAGGCGCTAGTTCAAGCGTATCAAACACTATGAATGCAACTTAGTAAGGACTCGTCATTCTTGATCTTGGAGCCTTTGAAAGTTCCAGCATCTGATGCAAATAAAAAAAAAATAAAACTATTCAAATTCGCATGTATGAATTCTAGAATCCCTGACCAAAATAGAACTTAGTGATTATTCATCAAAAAAGGTAAGAGTTAGTGCGGACGACAATACCCTTTTGGAGGAATGATATTTCGTCTATCAATGTTAAAAGGAAACTGACGGCAAAAATTATCAAGCCGAGTCTGGGGTAGAGACGTTTTGGGTGTGAAATATGCCGTGTATGCAAACATTTTTTAAATTGTATTATTTCCTAATCTCTTGCAATGCAAAGGACGTTGTTGGAGACGTAATAAGCAGGGCCAGTTGCAGCTGCCCTACTACTAACTAGCGCAGACACATGGGGCAGGGTCGTCAAAGATTTAGCTCATTAATCAAGCGGCAATCCAGAACATTGAGATTCAGTCACCGAAAATGCCTGGAAAGAATGCTTTGCAGATTGCAGAACTAATTGTCTGTAACGAGGAGACCCAAAATTAGATTAGTGAACGGTGATTAAGGTCCCAATTCAACCATACACAGCTATGGGGGTGCGAGTACAAAGACTCAATATCGGAATACACTATGCTTCAGGCAGTTCAATGAACGTATAAATTCACTTATGTAGCGTTTGTGGATCAGTGGCTAGTGACCCTCCCTCGGGACCCAAAAGCCGAGAGTTCGAATCCCGACAGTTGCAACGTTGTCGCATGCAGCGGGAAAGGAGTCATTAAGTTAAGCCAACACCACAAGTTCTGAGAAAGGCCTGGTGAAATCATGCATGTATTTTTGTAACATTTAGAATAATCGATACAATCTTATCCGAAAATAGCGGTTGAAGAATCATGTCGACTCAAGGATGCTTTTATTGTCTGCATTGCGCCGCGGGAAATCATTAAAAGTGGAATAAAAGATAAAAGCGATGCAGAGTTCAGGATCCAGAAGCATCAAACTATCATTTATCTTCGGATGAACCGTCAAGGAGAGATACTCAGGAAGGTCGAGGTCGTATGCTTTGACGACGGAAGTGGCGTCGACGTCGTGTGGCGTAATGGTAGGGCATTCGGTCCGGAACCCATGGCCCCGACGTTGTGCCCTTGGGGAAAGGTACTTTACACCGCTTTCCACCAACATACCAGTTATTGCCGATTTCTCGGCAGATGGGCATTATAGGAAAAAGGAGGAGTAATACAGTGATTTCATAAAAGCCTAGCGCTTTAATACCTAGTATAAAAGTTGACATTAGTGTTGCGACCTTTGTTTTGTACGGGACTATTAGCGATTACAGGCCATTCAAGAGGATTTACGGTGAAGTAGATACCGTGTTTACAGAAAGCAACACCTTTCAACAGGTCTCTACCCGTCGACGTCACCGGGTGATCCTTGGTTTTAGTTGCTTTAGTATTGGATACTAGTACCGTGACTGCGTGTCAGCCAAGAATGAACAAAACAAGATCTTAAATAGGGCTCAACATTCTTTGACGTTGAAATACAGTATCTAAGTCAAGAAGATGACGAAGCTTAACGTCCCATGTTTACGGAAAGCCACACCACATTTCCCGACACGTTCCTAAACACGTTTCTACATTCGTCATCGGTTGATCCTTTATTTTCGAGACTTGCTTTTAGCTTCCGTTACCTTGACCACGTGTCGGGTCAGGGGATGAAAAAAAGAATCTCAATAGGGCTCAACTTTCTTGACGTCTGAGTCTTTGGCGCAATGATGTCCAAAGTAAGGAGATTAGGTTTATATCCCATGTTTTCGGAAAGCCACTCCGCACATGTCGACATGGTAGTAACCTGTCACCGGTTGATCCATGATTTTCGCGACTTTCGTTGCTTTATCTTTGGTTACCTTGGCCGAGTGTCAGGCAAGGCAATGAAAACGAGACAAGATCTCGAGATCAACAGGGTTCAACTGCTCCGACGTTAAAATATCCAAGTCAAGAAGATGATAAGCTTAATGTCCCATGTTTAAAGAAAGCCACACCACACCTTTCGACACGTGTGTTTCTAAACACGTCAACGTTGAATCGTTTTTGAGACCCTGGTTGCTCCAGCCAAGTTGGTTACCTTGACCGCATGTCAGTCCAAGCAATGAAAAAAAGCAAGACTTCAATAGGTGTCAACTTTTTCGACGTTGAAATGTTCAAGATCAAGCTTAATACCAAGTCATACCTGAGAATAATCTTCCCAAAGCTGTTATCTCTGCCAGACACATTGGCTTCCCCGTGCTCTGAGGCTTAGGAGCGAGTGACATCTCTGCTTCGTGACCAAGAAAAAATCGATATCTGAAAGCTCTGCTGTGATGTAGTTTTGTTGTAATGTAGTGACT